AATTCAAATTCATGGCTTTAGGAGTTTTCTTCTTCCGGAATCCCAAAGTTTTCGTAGTCAGATCAATGTGGGCCTTTTTTAGACAAGGGAGGAGTTATTTTTCTCTTTCTTCACAAATATCTAGCCACTTGACACAACCGTATTAAGATCGGAGAGGGAGAAAAGAGCATTGGCATGTGTGGCTTTGGATCCTGCGAAAACCAAAGAAATTTTGATAATTTCTCAAAGACTAAAGATGAAGGTGCTCAAGGATCCCTACCGGTATCCATAGGGATGATAACCGTTGAGATTTCTTGATGACTGGAAGGATCGATCTTGAATGTCCTGACAGCCTTGGGCAGAGCAAGGAAGTCCCTGATCATATCCTCGGTATCTTCAGCAGGGGGAACTAATTCGTCAAACTTGAAAGTTGCAAAAAAAATTAAACAAAATAAGAAGTGTGAATATTGGGATCCTCAATGTGAAAAATAAGGAACCCTACCCTTTTTAACCAAGTATTGAGGTAAAAGATCTCCACCAGGAATCGAGTCATGTTTTACAAAAAAGTATCTTCCTTTCCAAGCACCATCGTTATGCTTGGATTTTAGAACAATAGGTGATCCGTCGGTTTTACTTTCAACAAAAAGTGAGAGTTTCCAAAGGTAGAAAGGTCGTAAACATAAGCTAACTCATTTAGACCAATGTTGAAACTCATGGAGCGATTCAGATTGTCGATCCAATAAAGGATCCTCCAAACCGTTGGCATGGCTTGAATATATGAAACCTTGGTGATTTCAAAAAATTCAGAAATGGTCCGAAAAAGGGATAGGTAAGCCCTAAGGTAAAGGGATACTCAGGAAAACAAAACCAAACAGAAGAAATAAAATTTGGTTGGATCTTAACATCGAAAGGCTCGAAGACAGTACTAGCGAGAAAAGTTCCACTCAAACTCAAAACTTCAATACTATCGTCATCAAAGGTACAAGTTTCCTCATAGGAAAGGAGCTTCTGATCTACGAAATCACCATCAGGTATAGCTATGATGTTTGCACGAGAACGAGTTGGCCATTTTTAAGAAAAAGAAAACTAAGAAGGAAGAAGGACAAAACGAATAAAAATACTACCTTCAATGATGTTCGATGCACTTCCAGAAGAAAGATTAAGAGTAAAATGGAATCGAAGAAGCTCCATATCTTACTTATATAGAAATCAGTGAGAGGTAAAAAGGTGATCTGACCCTTCTCAACAGCTAGAAATCTACCAGTTGAGGTTCAAATTACCCATCCGTTGGAAATTCTTACTTCAATTTTTATTTAAAAATTATACCTCTAAATATTCAAAACACTAACAGTTATATTTAGCAGGTATAATTTGGGGGCAATTGTTAGGGTCAGGATCCTTAATTCATATTCAGGATCCTCAAATATTCATGAAGCCTCGGGATCCTTAAACATATCCTGAAATCCTGACTGTTACCACTAATATTTCTAACACTTTTAACGGCTATATTTTCTTTATTTATCTCACATGTGCAGAAGGAGTCAACACAAGACCCATTCTTAATGGAGAGTCATCTCACCTAGGCAAAATACCCGGAATACCATGTCAAATAACGTTCATATGTTGATTTTGGAGGATCCTGAAAATATCAAACTTCTTGTTATTAGCATTAGACTATAAATAACATGTGTAATTAGCACACTAAGGACACACTAAGCTCATTCACGATACTTGTACTTACATTTACACTTTTATCTATGTATTCAACATTTTATATCAATAAAATCATCAAGGCAGGTGATCATTATCACCTCCCAAGGTTTTAGGCGGAGATCCAATCAAGGATCAAGGGCTTTCCTTGTACCTCAACTTTGTTACTTTGATTATGATTTCTTATTTGATTTGTAACGAACATCAAAGCCTCTCATACAATTTGGTTAGATTCTACTTAGTTGATTTTTGACCAAAACAACTTGTTTTGAAAATAAATATCATCGAACCCGTATCATACACAATCTCCCTAGTATAAGAAAAAAGACTAATAAGAACCATAGTAACATGGACTCTCTGAGAGTACACGGTATGGGCCAAAGAACGGCGTTATTGCCGACGTGTAAGCCCCATAACATCGTTATAAAGGGGGGAATACCACCCCATTCTTGTTATATCCGGTCTTCGTTGCATATTTTTGGCATTGCCACAGGAAGAAACGGGCTTAATTTTGAACGTTGTACTCTTTTGACCGTTCACAAACGGTCACATTCTTTAAAAAAAATCATTTTTTTACATATAAATACATATACACTTACACATTTTTTACACTTTTACCTTCTTTCTCTATATATATTTTACATCTAACCAAAACTCCAACACACAAAAATGGATCAAAATCCAAACACCCCTCCACCAAACCAAAACCCAAACAAACAACCACACACAACATCTCCTATCGGATTTGCCGATTACGAGAATTATTTTAGTCTTCTATCATCTCAAGGTTCACCACAAATCCCATACCAAGGAGCCTCTTTCAATCCCGCATCACCACCACTCCATTTTCCTAACTCACCTTACCTTCAACAAAATATTTTCGGACAACACTCAAGTTTACAACAAAATATTTTTTCGATGCAACCTCAAACACAAACAACCACGCAACCACAACCTCAAACACAAATAACCACCCAACCACAACCACCACCTCCAACACAACCATCGGTTGAAACGCAAGCGGAATGTAGTAAGAGAGGGAGAGGGAAAAGAAGAAGGAAAGGGAAAACTATAGCGGTCGAAACGGAAAGTGAGGATGTTCCACAATGGTGGACACCGGAGGAGGAATATGCTTTGACGGCGGCATGATATAGTACTTCAAAAGACGAACTCCGCGGTAATGGTATGAAGAAAGGTGCTTATTGGGATGCGGTGCTCGAAAAATTCCACGCTATGTTGAAGAAAAAACCGTATCACAATACGGACATGCTAAGAAGTAAATGGAGTCAAGTAACTAAGCGGTGCACAAAATTCAATGGTATTTACACCAAGCGCAACAGCAGAGCGGAGCAAACGAATTTGATTTGTTCAAATCTGAAAAAGAACAATATCCAGACGAAATGGGACATGTGTTCGAGTTCGAGAAATCATGGGAGTTGCTGCGAGTGGATCCAAGGTGGAATAAAACTCCTACATCGTCGTAAGTTCAATCCAAGAGGTCTCGAAATTCGATCCCGATCGACGTGTCGGACGCATGGACTCACATCGACCTAAACGTCGACACCGATGGGATCCTAGATGATATCGAGGAGATCTCCCCACCACGACGACCACCCGACACGACAAAGCGAGACGCGCTGCAAGGCATGCGGAGGAGGTTGATGCGAAAGAAAAAGGTGCGGTGCAAATGAAAGCGAAATTCGATGAGCACAATTTATTACAAAAAGAAAAAAATGAGTTGAAACGTCGCCACTTGGAGTTCCTAGAAAGGCATGCACGGGAGAAGCAGGAGCAAAAAGAGCGAGAACTAATGACACAACAGTTGTCAATTCTTTAGACTAGTGAGGAGAGTTTGATGCCTCAAGATCTAGCGGTGCTACAAGCGATGAATGATCAAATTAGGAAGAAGTATTTGGGGTAATTAAGATTAATAGTAAAATGTTATGGTTTTAGGTTTAATTTAAATGTTATTTGGGTTAATTAGGACTAGGAAAAAATGTTATCTCTTAATATTAATGTTTTTTTATTGTAATTTTAATTCTAGTTTTTAAAAATTATGTCTTTTTTTGTATTTTAAATATTATGTTTTATAAAAATATATTTGTTTTATTAATTAAAAAAAGAAACACGAAAAATAAAAAAAACGAACTCGAAAAAAAATTTAAAAAAAAAATGACATCGAAAAATTTGGTGTTATAACTTGAAAATCATTTTCTTGTTTGGTGTTATAACAACATTGCTTATGTGACATGTAAGGTGTCACCAAATTGGTGTTGCATTTAGTTGTCCACACCCAATGTTCTAATGCTATCGCTTGAAATAGGGGATTGTGAAGTTGGGAAAAACATTTTTTTTCCTATGGTTCACATAGAAATTATGTATGACACATTCATGCCAACTTTAAGAAATAATTTAAAGGTGTTCAGTTCAAAAACTTATTTTGTGTTAGTGCAAGTTCAAATGTTTAACATGAATTAAAGAAGCAAATTAACAGGATCTAAACTACCAACAAAATGATTATGGGCTGTTTTTAAGGTGCACATGTGCAATGTTTTAGAATGACATGACATATTTCACTTTATGCATTATAAATGTGCACGAATGAAGTCTATCATCAGAATGTTAAAGAAATCAGAATATTTATATTTATCCTGGAATAAATTTTCACAATGACAATAAAAGCAAAAAATAAAATAAAAATCAACATGATGCATTGATGTATTGTCATTTTCATATGTAATAAAAGGAAATAAAATATTTACGAGGCAAAAATGTAATAATGGTACTTTAGGGGCCAAATATGCCATTTCAAAATAGTAACTAAGAAGCCACGGATTATTCTTCGCCGTGTTTATATCTCCCACTGAATGTCATCATCTTCATCGTCATTAATCCCTTCTTCGCAATCACAATCACAATCTCGCCTCATAATCCACGCCTCACGTTTTCTAGCTCAAATTCCGCTGATTTCGATCGTCCTCTCGTATCTCGATTCAGTTAGCAATTGGTTTGTATGGTGGTTTTTTCATCTCCTTGCCCTTTTGGTCAATCATTTCACCGATGATGGCGAATTGTTATCTAATCGATTTGCGTTCATATTCGGCTCTGTTCTTTGAAAATTGGCCTGTTCTTCTTTGATTGGTTTGGTGTCTGCCCGTTTATAGATCTCCATTCGATTAGTCAAATTAGGTGAACTTGTAAATCTCGAGGTAGATTGGAAATTCTTTATTGGCGCACTTGTACGGATTTGAGATTGATCGAGATTGAAGATATAACTTGCTAAGAGAAAATAAATAGGGATCGGAATCCGAATGGCTATGAGATTGCCAATGGTTGATTGCCGTAGCTTGATTGAATTTTGCCGAGCCTTCGAACAGCACAAAAATATGACACCGACGATGAATAACAACAACAATCACTCTCGGAACAATAGGAAGTATGGTTCCAATTCCAGCTCCAATTCAATAAACCCTTTGTATCATCCGTTTTGCGAGCGATCCCCCTTTGCAGCGCTAGATATTCTTATGCTGATTCTCGTATTAGGATCACTAGGATTCCTAATCATACCATACATCAATACAATCTATCATGAAGCGATTGATATTCTCCCATTGGTTTTTGAAGTGATCGGAGATATAATATCGGATGCACCAATTGCATATGTTGTTGGTTTGGTTGCAGCTTTCAGCGGAGTGATAGCTAGTATTGCCGCTTGGGAAATTCTCGAAGTAAAATCAAGGAAATGTGGAAAGCCAGATTGTAAAGGGTTGCGTAAAGCTGTTGAGTTTGATATCCAGCTTGAGTCTGAAGAGTGTGTCAAGTATTCGTCATCAGGAAGAACAACAGATTATGGCGTAAAGCCATTGGAACTAGGAAAAGATCACAAGGAGCTGGAAGCCGAGTTGAAGAAGATGGCACCTCTTAATGGTCGAACTGTTCTTATTTTCAGAGCACCATGTGGATGTCCAGCCGGAAGATTGGAGGTATGGGGTGCTAAAAGAATCCGTAGAATCAAGAAATGATTTTTTTTTTTATCTTATGCTAGATTTCTCTTAGATAGAATAAACATGAGCTGATATTATTATTCAAGTCTCCTTGTTCACCTACATACATAATAACAGATCCCTGCAATCTGCATCTTTTACTTGTTATACTTATCAAATTTGATGTAAAAAAGTAAGAACCTTTGATGTTATATTCAGGATTCAGGATCATCTACCTTGAAACTATTGACATGTATAACTTTATGGTTAATTTTTATGTATAGTTCTTCAAAAGTTTATGGCAATAGTACTCATGTATGAGTGTCTATTTTTATAACACAATTAACATTGCATTCTCGAATTATTTTTGAAGAAAAAATGAGTGAAAATCATATTATTGGTGTTCTTGTTAGAAATAAAGAGAAGGCTGGCATCTTTACAATATTGTCCTTGTAATCATGTGATAATTGCAAGAAGGCATATACAGTACATTACTATTTACTATAAAGAGGACGAATATTTGTATTTTTATAAGATTTTATAAAATCTTTTCTTTCCCTTTCACAAGCTTTTACGGCAAATTGCTAAAAATATATTTTGCAATTTATATTTTAGTGTATAATCAAATAAAGGATCTGGCTACTAATGCCAATTTTTATTTTTCTGTAACTGGTTTCTTATGTGATTATGAACTTATAATATAACCATTTAAAAATTAAATAAAAAGTATGTTTTTAAAACAGAAGTGACTAAAAAAATATTATTATATGTGCGGTTATTATAGTAATTTACTTGTAAGTTGTAATATTATGTATTTGTAATTCACAATCAATTGAAAATTTTGTTTTACTTTTGTCGACTGTTGATACCCTTTTGTTTGTTTTGTTTGTTTTTATTATGCAATAATAGTGAAACCTATATCTTTATTTCATTTTAAATGAAAAAAAAACGCATGATTTGTTTGACTGAGATAAAGATCATAACAGTGATGCATGACAAATATGGGTGAGGGGCTGAGGGGTTCCATCTCATATCCCCCAGCCATACAGAGTAGGGACAGCCCACGGTTGGTGTTTGGTTTTTCTTACCGACCTTGGCCCATGACTTTAAAGGAAAAAAGAAATAGAAACAAATTACAATCATCACAAACAACATGATAAGATATTAAGAGAGAAGAGGGTACAATGATAATCGACTTGGATATCGACATAGATTGCGTATGATACTATCTTTATGTAATATTTGGATACTTACTTCTATTTCGATACTTACTTCTTAGACAGGCAGACCTGACAAACATGTTGTGTCGTGTCGAGTTTGTATCGAGGTGAAACATTAAACATATTGAGAGAACTTCACCATAACCCGACCATTTAATTAATGTGTCATGTTTTGTCAACCCGTTTATTTTCATGTTGAGTTCGTATCGTATTAATGGGTTATGATCTAGACCTTGTAAATGTGTCGTTTCATGTAAGAAAAATACTAACAAAGTTGAAATAGTAGGAGTTGGGGAAACGGAAAACAAAAAGTGAAAAAAATGGAAACGATAGGAGTTGGGAGGTGAAAGGACGATGTCATAAGGAGGAGGGAGTTGCCGAATGGAACTGTAGAATATGAGAGAAAAAAAAGGAAAAACTAAAATAAATTTTTGACTTGAATGGCTAAGTTGTTTTCACATTATGATTTTGGATTTGGATCTGTCCAATTTATATATCGGCGGCTAAGTCGTTTCCATATTGTGAATTTTACAATCATATCAACCTAAATCTCTTATTTTTATATATGGATTTTAGATCGTTTCCATATTGTGAATTTTACAATCATATCAACCTAAATCTCTTATTTTTATATATGGATTTTAGATGAGATTGTTTAATTTATCAAAAATATTAAGAAAACTTGCATATGAATAAACATGCTGCTTTTAAATTACAAAGCCTACAAAGTGTCTTGACTTTGATTAAATTTCTGAAAAGATGTCTTACAAGACAAAAAGGAATGGGACTATTTGAAATCTGTAAATCTAGAAAAATGGTCAAAGGGTATATATATTACATGGTCTTCGTTATAATCATATGACATTAAACAACACAGAGTCCATCAACACGTTATCGAAAGATGTGCGGAATATGTCGGTAATGATGCTTGTAGAATTTTTCCGCATGACAATGCAAAAATGATATTTTGAACGTTACAACTAGGGATAAATAGTTCAAATCACGATCACGTACCGGAACCAATATTGAACCGGTACCCAGTTTATATACATGGGATGATATTCGGGACTTGAATTGGCCAATAATTGATACTCAGTACTCCGTACTTGGGACACGGTGCTAAACTTGTTTAGGTCATTTATCGGACCGACCCAAGTAATTAAAGGGTGTGCGTCTAGCCTTGAGGGAAAGGATCTGATGTGTTACCTTCGTGCACGTGCCAAAATATTAGTTGTATCTATTAAGGACACATTTGCCCCTATGCTTTTGTTAACATATTTGGTTGTATGAATGCTTCAAGTGCTTCCTTGGGCAACTTAATGGCAAAATATTAATTGTTGGATAAATTTTCCCTTCAATGTTCTTTGGGTTATTATCACTATAGCCCAACTATGTTTAGTATATTGGTTTAAAAGGTCCTTCATGACTTTTTTTTTGCATTTTAGGGGTACGTACTTGTGTTTTACCGTTTTAAAAGGTCATTATCAAAAATATGAAGGGGTCACCCGGTGAACCCCTTCCTAATCATCAATTTTGATATGCCACGTGGCATTTGGTCAACTGAAATGGTCCAAACTACCCCTGATGTTACTGCAATTCATCTCCTTAGATTGAGTTTGAAGACATTCGTTCCCGCAATCGAGCCTTGTCAAATCAAAATCAAAACAAAGAAAGACTATCAAAATCAAAACATATACATAGTGACAAAGAAAACAGACAGAAGTGAGAGTCCTATAGGTTACCTCTGAGTCGAAAAATTTAAGGAAGAATCGTGATTTGGGAACAGAGAGCTTGGAGCTAAGAATCTCGGCAACTGCAACACTTAGTTTCTTTTTTACATTAGGATTCAAATCTGCGATGGACACCAGCTCACCATACGTTGTTGGCTGCTCGCAACCTCCAAAAGCCATCGTCACAGATCCCTTGCTTAACTTTGACTCTAGAATCACTGCAATCGGTTTTCAAGTGATATTGTCATAAGTTCATAACCACAGCCTAATTCATTTCTACCCCAAGGAAATTGAAAATCACTCATGAACACTGAAACATTAACCACTCGTAAAAGCAAGACATGGATTGATTAGAAAGGGGGGTTTCTTTTCCTTGGATAATTTTTGAAGCTATAATAACATCAAGTCATCAAGTAACATTCAGATTCAAAGTAAGTACATAAAACACACACACATCCATAACAGAGAGAGAGAGAGAGAGAGAGAGAGAGAGGTGTACGTACGGCTTTGGGTTTGCCGATTAGGTCGACGACGGTAGAGGTGGCTTCGGAGAGGATGGCAGAGGCATCAATGCCCTCCAAGCTCACGTTTGTTGACAGATTCAGGCACGACATCTTCCAAAAACTTTGTTGGCCGTGAGATTGCTTCTTCATCGTATTCCTCCCTCGGCTACTTTCCGGTGACTAGTATTGTGACAGTAAGTGCTTACTGTCCCAACAAACTCTCCAAAAACCATCGTCTAGTCTCAACTCTCGGTTCCCTTCCCCGTGGAACTCTCACATAACCAGTATTCGATTCCAGTTTTGCAAATCTAGTTTTGTTTGAGTCGAATTTGGTGTTTGATTCGTTGATTTTGGGGGAGGACAAAGATAGTAAGAATATGTTGTCAAGGAACCGCCGCGAGGGAAGAGGTGTTCGTTATCACCATCGTTATTCAACTTTTGTTTTCAGTGGTCAACAAAAGTAGAACAAAGAAAAACATGGGCCCTGAGGTTTTAAAAAGAAAAATGAAAAGCAACCGGTAAAATCGGCTTAAAATACAGTCTATCCCTTTATTAGCAGGTAAAACACAAGTACGTACCCCTAAAATGCAAAAAAAAGTCACAAGGGACCTTTTATACCAATATACTAAACATCGTTGGACTATAATGACAATAACCCATGTTCTTTTTTCCGTTCCTTATTTGTTCGTTGTATGCACCAACAAAGATCCCTTCGTAAGCTGCTTATTGATTCTACTTTCTTATCACATCATATTATAAAAGGTATCCATATAAAAAATTATAAAATGACAACTAGTCTAATATATAACAAGTTTTTATAAACTTGACTTGGCCACGTCTTTCGGGGTTCTATTGGTTTTCAATTTCAGTTTTAACATTCTCTCTGATTTCCTTTTTATTTTTATGTGTCCTTCGTGGTTTAGTGTATGCTTTTTTTCCCATAATATTTGCAATAACAATCTAGCAAAAAATTAATGTTACATTTTAGTATCATAAAACACAAATATTTTTAATAAATTTATGGGATAAAGGTTACCTTTATCGGGATCAATTCTGAAATCTCTTGTAGATGGTATACAATTTCTTCGTCCGTAAAATCTATTTTTTAGCAACATCCATGCAAATTGATCAGGTGCATCTTCGAACGTATTGGTTTTGATTTCAGACTAATTTGTACATATTTGGTTTAATGCAGATCAATATTACTTCTTAATTTAAAAATACCAAGAAAAAAATTCCAGACAAACATTCCTAATTGTTCTTCGTATTCCAGATATTTTGGATTAGTTCTACGAATTTCAAACATTTCCTCATTCCGTAATCATATCCACTACGTAATTTACACTCATTTCCTCTATATGGAGTGTTATTAACATGTTTTAACTCTTATATGGTCAAATAGTTGAAGGCAGCAGTAAGTCTACATGCAATATGATATTTCGGACAAGTTCTACGAATTTCGGACATGTTATATGCAATATGGAGCTCATAAAATCGATTAAAAACTTAAATGCAACTACATAAATCAGTAGAACTAATTTGGTTTGATGAATCCATGATATCAAATGTGAAAAAAAAACTTCAATATTTGGTTGCCAAAAGTTCATAATGAATACCGTCAGGAATGGTATCTCCGATATGTGAATGTGTGGGACCCATATCTATATAATCCGTCTGATATAATATTGGGCTTGATCCGTTTATATCTTTTTGAATATCCAATCCAAAAAAAAATTATTTTTTATAACAAAAAAAATAGTTATTATATATAAAAAAAACCTTCCAAGATTACTCAATTTCCCTAATTTTATTGGTTATACTAATAAATTTAGATTTTTTAAATAACTTTTACTTTACTGAGCCATGTATAAAACGAACAAAAAGAACGACGGCGTTCTGCTGTCTCCTCCGTTCACCACCGCAACACCGTCACTCTTGTATCCAAGGACCCGTTGGGTACAGACTCTCCTTAGTTCGAATGTACCAACTATTTCAACTCTGATCTTTCAGCGGATCATCTGAAATTGGCCTCCTCACGTTCTGTTTACGCCCCGCTGTGCTCAAATTGAGTTCCTGTACATTACGAGATTAGGTCATTGTGCTTCTGTAATAGCAGTGGAAGATCACAATGAAGATTAAGTCACCAGTCTTCGTGCTCTTCGTATTGAGTTTGACGTTGGTTCTCAGATCGGCTGCTATTTCACTAAATGATCTCCTCGGAATTGCTCCTGAAGGTCCAATACATGTTCTGATGTGCGCGTGTTTGTAATTGTTGATCTACCAATCGTAATTTTAGTTTGTTGTGTAATATGCTCTGAGTTCTGTTTTTCTTTTACCAGATGAGAAATATTACGCGGGATTATGGTCTTCAGGAACGATTAAATGTAAAGATGGATCTAAAACATTCACAAAGTCACAGCTTAATGACGACTTTTGTGATTGCTTTGACGGCACCGATGAGCCAGGTTTAGTAGTTTATCATCAGTTAATATGAATATAACTCATGTCCTGAAATTCTCTACTTGAATGTGGTTGAATATATTTCTTGTTGTGCATTGGTGGATGTATTTGATAATCTATATGTAAGGTATAGAGGCTACAAATTCAAGCTCTTCTTGTATGCATATGCTGATCACGTTTTGCCTTTAGTTTGAACATAATTGGGGGTTGATTTGTTGACTCACAAGAGAGAAGAAGATCTTTGAGCCTTGAGGACTATAAACTTGATAGTTGATACTTACTCTCTTACCAGTCGAATAGGATTGCATGCAACTTGAGAATGGCTACTGAAGTACATCATTTTGAAAGTATGCACTGTTATCTTAACATTAACATAGTAGCATATTTGGCCTTTCAGGAACATCAGCATGTCCTGCTGGGAAATTCTATTGCAGAAATGCTGGACATAGACCCCTAACTGTATTTTCTTCTAGAGTAAATGATCGTATCTGTGGTAAGAAATGTTCTTACTCAAAACTCTCATCATCTAGTATTTACCAGAATTGATAGTTGTTAAATCCTTCCATGTTCTCCTTTTCACCACCAAATTTCATGTTCCATCTGAAACTTTAACCTGTTTTTGTTGAACAGATTGCTGTGATGGAAGTGATGAGTATGATGGTAAAACCAGGTGCAAAAACACCTGTTGGGAAGCTGGAAAAGTTGCAAGAGATAGATTAATGGAAAAGATTAAAATATATGTGGAGGGTGTTTCCATTAGAGACAATGAAGTTGAACAAGCAAAACTATCATTTGAACAAGACAAGGAAAACTTGTTGAAGTTCAAGCATGAGGAGAAAACTCTCAAGAGGATTGTCCAACATCTTAAGGGTACTTCTATCTGTAATTGTTACATATACTTTTCACATACTTCATTAGGTTACATGCATATAATATGGCTTTTGTAGACCACAAGGACCGAATAGAGAAGGCAGTGGAGAAAGAACGAATCCAGAAAGAAAAAGAAGAGCAACAGAAGAAGGAATCTGAATTGAAGGAACACAAAGGTGAAGAAAAAGTTGATGTTGCAGAAAAAGAATCCACAAAAAGTAACAAAGATGATCAAGATGGGATTCTTAATAACTCTCCTTCTGGCCAGGTTTGAAATGACTGCAAACTTGAATTTGTAATTTTTAAAATGTTTAATTGTCTCATACTCAGATTCTTCTATTAGAATCTCAACAAAGACCCTGCTGTTGATGTGGCACAAAATGCTCATACATCTCATGACAATGTAGAACAGGTAAATGTTAAGTACAAATTAAACTCCCATCAAGAACTTTCCATGTAAGCTAATTACATATTTACATGTTTTAAATGCTATTTATCTCTCTTAACATAGCATGCTGCAAAAGAAGAGGAATCATCTGATGTTACACATGCAACCAAAGACATCGATTCATTATCAAAGGAAGATTTAGGGCGTGAAATTGGTTCACGTTGGACTGGAAAAAAAACTGAGCACCAAAATCATGATTACGAGACACCTGTTAATGTCCACAATGAAGAAAATAATGGAGACAATACAGAAACAGATGATGATGATGATGATGATGATGATGAACATTATGAGGAAGATGACCATAGGGATGTTCAAGAAGACACTCATGATGATTCCAGTTCTTCACATGACTATGATCCAGATGAGTATGAGGACATTTCAGGTCTGCAATTTTACTATTTATTTTTTTCTGTCATATTATTTCGTTTGCTGATAATTTTAATTTTTATGTGAAAGATATTGAAAGTTCAAGTAGCCCATCATTGGTTGAGAAGATTCAACAAACTGTCCGGAATTTTCTACTGGCTGTAAATCCATTCCAGACTCCAGTAAATATATCAGGTAGAACATGACATGACAGAACAGGTTGTACTGTGTTAGATGTACATTGGACTGGGACTGAGACCGATGTTGATGCGACAAAAAGTACAATTTTTTAACCTACCAAAAAAGGTGGGACATGGGATTTGCTTTTGATCTAGATCTCTCGTCTATGCAAAAAGACGTAAATACCCTCCTGAGCACATGTCCACTCCAGTGTCTTTTCTTTTTATGAATTATTTTATTTTTGTTTTTTGTGTTTATGTAGAAGCTGAAAGTGTACGAAAAGAGTATGATGAAGCGAGTGGGAAGTTATCCAAAGTAAAAACAAAGATATCTCGCATCACAAAGAAGCTAGCAAATGACTTTGGTATGTTTATTATTATTATTATTTTTTTAAATTTGGTTTTATAAAATAGGAAAAGTACATTGCTATTCTTGTTATTTATATCTTCAAGTATCTATGTTTGACATTGCAGGACCAGAGAAGGAATTCTATTTGTTACATGGCCGATGTTTCGAGACTAAACAGAACAAGTTACAACTTTTCCATCTTTTTTTATTTTTTATTTTTTCCTCTTTCAAATATTGATCAAGTTTCTTTATCTAATTTTGTATCTTTAATTTTTTGTGATTTCAGATATGTTTATAAAGTTTGCCCTTTTAAACAAGCTACCCAGGAGGAAGGATACAGTACAACCAACTTAGGGTAGGTATTCACACGTTAACTATTCAAAGGAAACTAATATTTACAAAATTGACCCTTTTTCTTGAATTTTCACTTACTAAAGTTTTTTTTTTTTTTTTTTTTTCTTTTGGCAGGAGGTGG